ATTAAGCCTAATAAGAATTAATTTGTCAAAATTGAAATTATGAGGGATCTACTAGGTCTTTTTACCAAAATTCATCACAGAAAAATATTAAATAAACTATTAAGATCTTCATTTGCAACTTTATGTGACACTTTCCCAAAAATCAAACGAGAAGTTTATTTTCTCTTTGAATGAAAATGTCATTAGGGTACAAAGGTTGAACATGTAGAGACAAATACATAATTTTATGCTAACGGAAAACCTCTAAAATTTTAGAATGAGAATAATTTATAAAATTCAAGAGGAATGAAAACATATTTTTTAATAAAAAAATATATAAAAATCTAAAATAGATAATAAAATTAAAATTCTAGAAGGGAGCATGCCCCACTCACTCCCTTCAATTGTATTGTCTCATCATGATTTTTAGGTATATTTTTTATTTTTCAATAATATTTACAGAATGTTTTAAATTCTACAATTTAAAAAATATTTTTACATTCTTAATATTTTTTAATTGTTAAATAATCCTATAATATTTTTATAACTTTTAAAATACTTTTTAAATATTTAATATTTTTATTATGAAAAAAATAATTTTATATATTTGAAAAAATAGACTATTTTAATATCCATAAATAAAAATTTTAAAATTAAAAATATAGATTCTGGAAATATCAGATAATAGTGATAACACTAAGTTATTAAAACTCAATATTAGAAACTAGTCAAAGATCATAATTGATTCGTTTAATTATTCAATTAAAATAAGGGGAACACATAAGGAATAATGGAATTTGCAGCCTCCATCAAAGAACAAGTCGTTATGATACTTTAACATGGACTTTTTTAAATTTCCATTTTAGTCATTGTTATTTTAATTATTATCAATTTAACCTGATTCCATTTTTAATAGAGAAAATAACCTCAGTGACCAAAAATCCTAGATAATATACGATTTTGACCAACTTTTTTTGGATTTGCGAAAAATGACCAACAAAATCGCAATGCGATCTCTAATTCGCATTGCGATCTCCACTATCGCAAATTCACGTTGCATTTTGCATTGCGATAGTTGAAAATCGCGTTGCGTTTTTCCATTTCGCGTTGCGATAGTTGAAAATCGCGTTGCGTTTTTCCATTTCGCGTTGCGATAGTTGAAAATCGCATTGCGATTTTTCATTTCGCGTTGCGATAGTTGAAATCGCAACGCGATCTCCACTATAGCAAATTCGCGTTGCATTTCGCGTTGCGATAGTTGAAAATCGCAAATCGCGTTGCGATTTTCCATTTCGCGTTGCGATAGTTGAAAATCGCGTTGCGATTTTCCATTTCGCGTTGCGATAGTCTACAGTTGTCGTTGTGAAAAAAAAAAGATTTTGTTTCTTAAGAATTTTCTCTAAAAAGATAGTATCCGCGCATACGTGTCGAAGACACGTATTACCACGACCACGACACCGACATGACACGACACGACACGGGACAGGACGGAAGGCGGCGGCGGTGCGCGAGAGTCCCCCTTGTTCTCTATCACTTAACAAGGAAGTGGGAAAGCCAAGCCTTAAATACCATTCCTAATAGTGTTTTCAATACAATGTGGGATTGAGCATTACCAACACTTGTTTCCAATACAATGTGATTATTCAGGAAACAATTAACAATCATGCACCTTAAAACAACTGAATCAACAACCAATTGCATTAGTATTATACGATTAAATATGTCATAATTAAAAGTCAATCTACAATCAATCGCGATTATTGTAATTTTAAGCAAAACATTCAAAAATAATATCACTATTTAAGGCTCAATCCCACATAGTATTGGGAACAAGTGTTGGTAATGCTCAAATCCCACATAGTATTGGAAACACTATTGGGAATGGTATTTAATGCTTGGCTTTCCCACTTCCTTGTTGAGTGATAGAGAACAAGGGGGACTCTCGCGCGCCGCCGCCGCCGTCCGTCTCGTCTCGGGTCGTGGTCGTGGTCGTGGTAATACGTGTATTTGACACGTCCGCGCGGATACTATATTTTTAGAGAAAATTCTTAAGAAACAAAATCTTTTTTTTAACTATCGCAACGCGATTTTCAACTATCGCAACGCGAAATGGAAAATCGCGTCGCGATTTTCAACTATCGCAACGCGAAATGGAAAATCGCAACGCGATTTTCAACTATCGCAACACGAAATGCAACGCGAATTTGCGATAGTGGAGATCGCAATGCGAATTAGAGATCGCATTACGATTTTGTTGGTCATTTTCGCAAATCCAAAAAAATATGGTCAAAATCGTATATTATCTGAGATTTTTGGTCAGGTTATTTTCTCTTTTTAATATTGACAGTTAATATTTATTACTTATTCTTTTATAAGATTTTTTATTATTATTAAGTTGTCAATATTTTTATAAATTTATGAATCAACCTTCTAATTTAAAATGAAATATTTTTTATTTACATAAGATTCGTTAATTAATTAACCGTGAATATATTAACAATTAGACAAATACAATTTTATCATAATATTAATATGATATATCCAAGTAATATCACGAGATATCACATTAATAAAAGAAAATTGCTTTGTTTTCCTCATCCATCGCTACCTTAATCATGATTTTCATTTATAAAGCATATGAATAGACGTAGGGGCAGTGCCATTGATTACCCTTAAAAAAGGATTACTTATTGCTAATTGCTTCTTTAAAGAGGGAAATCATGATAGTCGTTGGATGAGGGACCTGAAAAGGACATTGTTTAAAAAGTTAAGATACGTTTATTAGGTTAAGAACAAAAACAATTAAGGGGTATGGATACAAATTTTTTACTTGGTCTTATACGAGTCTTCTAAATTTAGCATTAAATTGTTTAATCCGTGTAATTTGATCTTTATGAATTATAAAAAAACAAATCTATCACATAATTTTAATAATAAATAAATCACCTTGTTGAAAGCGATGATACTAATGCGTTGAATTCATTCAATAGATTGTGCACTCATTATTAATATATTGGTCATAATTATCGATAATCAGTTGGTATAATGAGATAAGATATTAAATCTCTTAAGTAAAATTAGGGGTTTTAATCCTGACGTTTGCAAATAAAGCAAACTGGGTCGGAAGGGTCACCCTCGTTTCTACAATACCCGATCTAGATTAGTCGATCAATAAATCATATACTAATAATTAATTCAAAAAAAATATTGGTCATGATTACGATTGATTTTTTTTTTTTGTTGACAAAACTTCTTTAAAAGTTATGCTACATGATATTTAGAAGAGTTAATTGTATAAAAGTTTTTAAAACTATATTAGTCTCTAAATATTAAAGTATTATATATCGATATTCTAATTATGATTCATATTTTAAATTAATCCTTTAACTTTAAGATATTTTATATTTATTCATGTTGTTACTTCGATTGGTTTAGGAAAGCCTTGGGAGTTAAACATGTGACATTCTAAAAAATAAAAGTTATTTTTTAAGGCAATAAGAATTGGATATGTGACCTAAATAGTAATTTATTTTTAGGGGTCATGAGATTTTTTTAAAAGGTCACGAACTCGATCTTCAAAAAAAATCCAAAACAAATTTAAAATTTTCAATTTGTAAAATTAGTAACACATTAGTATAAAGATCAAAATGGAATGATACTGATAATTTGAAGAGTGATATAAATTATTTCAAAGTTCATGGACTAATTTAGAATAAGAGTTATATTTTAAGAATTAATATATAATATATTTAAAAAGAAATCATAATTTAGAAACATCTTATACAATTATCTTATATGAAACAAGTGATCTCAGTGATAAAGAGATCATTATTTTCGTGAGAGGTTCCGAGTTCGAACTCGATGGCTATAGAGAAGTGTTTAAGTTCATTGCTAAACGATATAGAATTTTTAAAACATATACTACTTTATGATTTCTCATACTAATAAAAATATTTTAAAATAATATGACAATAAAATTTTATGTTTATAAAGATCGAATTGAATATCTTAAATATTTAATTTAATTTAATTTAATTAAAATTAAAGTATAATTCAAATCAATCTATTTTATTGTTTTTTTAATATAAGTTAAATAAGCAATTCCTTGCATCACGCGAGGGAATGGAGAAGAGTAGACAGAAAAAGGAAGTAAACTTTATTGGAAACAACGGCTATCAAATCGAAGGTTGTCCCAAGCTCACTAATTTGTCCTCAACGGCTCTATTCACTTTTATTTATTAATTTTAAAATACGACATAGTTACATTACAAAAATCTAATATTCTTATGATATAATATAAAGTTTGCTTAAAATGTTATAAATCTATAATATTTCAATTATAATTATGACAGGTAAAATATAATTAACTTAGTAATTGAAAAACCAAATCGTCCTTTTTCTAACTTAGCGCTGTTTGTTTTTTTTTTCTATTTTTCTCTTGTCGACAATATTATTAATTTTATATTGATCATCAATTGTTATTTTTTCTTCTTATTCTGTTTCTCCTTCTCTTTTCTACAGTAGCTTCTGTTATGCATTTTTATGTTAGTGTTGACAGTGATGTTTTTGTATTTGTCATTTTTTTCGAATTGTTTGGTTGAGTATTTTTTCCTCGTATGATCTTATTTTTTTCGAATCTATAAAGTGATGATCATCAAATACCAACTATGCTGACACGTAAATTTGATATCTTAAAACTGTCATATAATCAGTTAATATATGGTTTAACGACTTAATAATCTAATTGAATGTAAACTAAAATTGTATACTATAATGAATGCATTTTAAAGTTCAATGCTAAAATCAATATAAACTTAAAATTTAATACTCGAGAATATAATTTACCTAAATAAATAATACTACAAGGGAGCTCCGTACATGTTGGCATTTGGATACGTGGCACTCTCGAATATTACGTCAACCACAACCCCAAATGCCAAGATTCACCGTAGATAACGTTTTTTTTTATTTTAAAAAAAAGGTAAAATTTGAAAAACAAGTGGCAGTTGGTAATAAATAAATAAAAGGAAACAAACAGAGAACTTGAAAAACCCAACTCTCTCCTACTTTGAATGCAACACAACAAAGAACTCGTTACCAAATTTAAAACCTCGTGATTCTTTTACAGAGTCAAAATCCAAACTCAGTGGAGATAATGACTGCTCCAGTAATGGTGACCAAAGGAGGTGGCTGTGGCGGTGGTAGAAAGCGAGGAGCTAGAGGAGGAGTCAAGAGCTGCGAGGAAGAAGAGCAGCAGAGCCAGATTTCCGTGTCGGCGTTGCTTCTAGCAGCTTTGAGGAAATCCATGGTGTCGTGTCGTGTCGATAGCGAAGACGATGCGGTGTCCTCCTCCATTCATCAAATGGAAATTGGGTGGCCAACCGACGTACGACACGTAAGCCATGTGACCTTTGATCGGTTCAATGGGTTCCTGGGCCTTCCCGTTGAATTCCAAGTCGAGGTACCCGGTCGTGTTCCAAGTGCAAGGTAAATTCCCATTGTTTCCCCTTTTCCCCCTATTTCGTTTCTGTTTACAGAAGATTTCAGCTGGATTTTTAGTTTTCTTTGTTGTTTATAGTTCAAATGTTAGAGTTTTTGTGCAGTTTAGATCTGAAAAGGGTTGATTTTTAGTAACTACAACGAAAAGAAAGAATGACAGAGGAAAACATCTGCAATTTTAACTAGATTATAATTTATGTGAATTTTGATTTGATAAGGTAATTTTTTGGGGTTCATCTAGTAAGAATAAATACGATTTATTGAAATGTAAAATATTTTTGGATGTAGTGCGAATGTATTTGGGGTCTCCGCGGAATCAATGCAATGCTCATTGGATCCAAAAGGAAACAGCGTCCCCACTATACTGTTGTTGATGCAGGAGCGGCTTTATTCACAAGGAGGCCTTAAGGTTTTCAATTTCGATACATTTCTACTTGGTGCTCATATCTACATGTGATTTATGTGCTTATGATTTTAATGCTATTTAATTGTTCTTGTTTTGCAGGCAGAAGGGATTTTCAGGATAAATCCTGAGAATAGCCAAGAGGAGCTTGTAAGAGATCAGCTGAACCGGGGTATCGTGCCGGATAACATCGATGTCCATTGCCTTGCAGGCCTTATAAAAGCCTGGTTTAGGGAGCTTCCTTCGGGGGTGTTGGATGGACTTTCCCCAGAACAGGTTCTCGGTTGTGATGACGAAGACAAATATGTCGAACTCGTGAAGCAACTAGAGCCTATGGAAGCCGGACTGCTCAATTGGGCAGTTGATCTTATGGCGGATGTCGTTGAGGAAGAGGAATCAAACAAGATGAATGCAAGGAATATCGCTATGGTTTTTGCCCCGAATATGACTCAGGTAAATGTCTGGGAGATTGTTAGACCAAAGATGTACTTAAAATGTTTTTAAAACGAAGCAGTTTATGTTGATTGTCGTTCTCTGGTAACAGATGTCCGATCCGTTGACGGCTCTGATGCATGCTGTTCAAGTTATGAACTTACTCCAGACCTTGATCTTGAAAACATTACGGGAGCGTGAAGAGACTGCAAGTCCATCGTATCCATGTGATGGCCCTACAGATGAGGAGTATGCTTGTCATAGTCTGCAAGAGACGGATTTGAGCTGCGAAGGAACTATGTCAGATTACAATTATTCCGTTTACTCTAGCAGAGACGACAATGAATACGAAGACGTAGATGAAGTCGAGCCATTAGGTGAAATAGCAGAGTGCTTCTTGAGGCAACTGGATGATGAGAAGAACAAGGATGTTACATATAGTATTTTGGAAGAACAAGTTGATGAATTACATGCAAGTACTCCTCCGGGAAGTTGGTCGGGCTGCAATGTCAAGTCCAGCATATCGTTTACGGATAGCAAGAACGATAATTCGGGCTCGAGTATAAGCGATGGAGAGGACATTGATGATATGGAGATAACAAACAAGGTAGTGGAGTCACACGACACTCCAATGAGTATCAGAAGCTGACACGGCATTGCTTAGAACAATGCTGGCGTCTCTTCCATTGCGGTTGCTTCGATAAAGTTGGGCTTTGGTTGAAACTCAGATAGAGCAGTATCGGATTGTTTGTTTGAATCACTGGTTCAGCAAGGGCTGCACTTGTGTGTCTGTTACTTTTGGCACGTGTTCCCGAAATTCTAACATCGATTTGATTAAAGATCGGAGAAAAATCGGGCCGATGTTGGCGTCAAGTGTGTTAGATACATGTAGGCAGATGTGCAAAATTAGGGGGTTAGATTCAGCTTTATAGTGAAGCTGTAGCTGTAACTTTTAGGTGTGGTTGATTTGCAGTGGTAAGTCATCTAGACTTAGTTAGCTGACTATGTGATCGTCTTGTAATTTCCTATTGTCAATGTTTTGTAGTTTATGTTATAAAGCTCATTATTTAGAACTTTCATTGAATTGGGTAAATCACAAGAAGCACCAAAAATACCAAAACACCTCACAGAATAGACCCCAACAAATCAAGCTGACATAAACATCAACAGAAGCTTCAAACAAGTCATATAATATTGAAGAAAAAGAAGAAGCTTAAATCACATCTTAGCCCCTGATTTTACTATTTTCCCCACTTCACAGCTCAAATTATTTCCGTGCTTAAAGTATTTATTGTTACCTGCTCCACACCATCTTTAAGAAAGACATTAAAAGATTCCGCCATTTTCATTTCTTTTCTAAAAAATTAGGGTCTAACTAAAAATTTTAAAATTTTTAGTAGTTTAATGAGAAATCTTAAAAATTATGAGAGGGTTTAATTAAAAAACATTCAAAAAAATAAATTTAATTTAATTTTTTAAAAATTTTATGAGGGCCACGTTAAGACTTTTTTGAAAATTTTAAAGATTTAAATTATAATTTCTCAATTTTTTGAAGAGTCAAATTAAATGTTATGAAGAATTTGAAGATATAAATCATAATTTAAAAAAAAAATTGGAGGGGGTTGCATGCCCCCCACGTGCCTTTATTGCGTCAGCCATGGATCAGCCTGACATGTGACCTCCTAAAAAACCACATAGATCTTTTGCAACCTATCAAGTGGTGCAGTTAGGGATGATTACGTGTAGGAAGAATTTTTAATCCATCTAAATTCGACTAAAAAATTTAACTCCTTATTTATTTCTTATTCAGATTTAAGAGGATTTTATTCGATTTAAAATTTAATTTAATTTTTTAAATACACATTTATACCTGACATTAAAAAATAAGTATCTAATTAAAAAATAATAATATAAAGATGGACTATTATTAATTATCATGATATACACGTATTCTATACATATTCAAACATTAGTGCAAGTTCTTGCCAAGGTCCTAGGTAGCTCCCACTTCCTCTAAGTAAGCCTTATCCTACCATCTATTTTATTTCTGTTCGTAATGCACCCATCCCATATGGACTCTTTAGCAACCTTTTTATAATTCTATAAATATTTTATATATGTTTTATTACAATTTTTTATATATAATTTCATCAGATTTTATAAATATATTTGATTTAAGACTTGTTTAACATTGCTTTTGAAAAACATCGTAAAAGTGAAGCTTTTGAAAAGCGTTTGTGGATTATTTGATGGTGTTTAACATTGAGTTTAAAAAATGTTTCTTAAGAGATAAATGGTCATTTTAGGCATAGTAAAAATCTTATAGCTTAATCCATCCGGTAATAATATAAGAATCAATAAAAAAAAAGTTATGTTGTTTTCAAAATTTTATTTGAAATTAACAAAATTCCACCTCTTAGAATTATATAAAAAACACAAACCATTGTACAAAAACATAATAAATAAATAAATTCAGGTAGTAAAAAACCAAAAGCTTGTAATGAGATTAGATGCCCTACCCCTAAAATTTGTAATAAACTCGACTTTCAAGTTGTATTTGTATTATAAAATTTAAATCAATTTTTTTTCTAATTTAAATTCAACTCAATTTTAAAATGATTTGAGAAAAAAAATTGAACGATCGAAATCAAAACTGGTATAATCCGATATATGTTTTTTTTGTAAAAAAGATTTTTTTTTAAAATTAAAATTAATTTTATTTCAATTAATTGTTGCGGAAGATGGCTATCGGATAGAACAAAATCGCAACTGATAATTTGAGAAAATAAAAATGAAGATAAAAAGATACACAAAATTTACGTGGAAAACCCCTAAATAAAATAGGGTAAAAACCACGGGCAACGGTAGAAGAATTTCACTATGAGAAAATAGGAATTACAACCTCTCTCGATCTACCAAGGAGAAAACAATGATAATTCTCTCTCGATAAAAAGGAGAAAACAACTCTCAAGAAACTCTCTAAATTAGCTTTGGGATGGTTTTGAAGCTAAATGAGCTAGGGTATTTATAGTTGAAGCTTAAGGACTAATCTTATAAATACTCTAAATTTTAGTGACTAAATTGTAATGTTCCCATTTATCAATTTTCCACAATTGCTGCTCCACCGAATTAAGCATGTGCACCGAAATTTTTGCTTGATTTTTTCAATATGTTGGGCCACTTTACTTGATTTTCAACATAACAATCTCCCACTTGAAGATTTGATTAGAACAATCATATCTTCACACCATTCTTTCTACCTTGTACCTTCATGTTGCTTACGTTTCTGACAAGCCACAAGAGGATCGACACCAGGTAAATTTATCAGCATTGATCGCCTTCGTCATGAAATCTGCTATGTTGTCTTTGGTATGGATCTTCTGCATATCTACCGTTCATTCTTCCACCTTTTCACGAATGAAATGGTATTGAACTCGTATGTGCTTAGTCCTTGAATGAAATGTTGGATTCCTTGCTAGATGCAAGGCGCTTTGACTGTCACAAAACAGAGAGACATACTCTTGATTGTGCCCAAGCTCCTCCAATAACATCTTCAACCAAATTGCTTCTTTACTGGCTTGTGTAGCTGCTACATATTCTGCTTCTGTTGTGGATGTAGCCACAATTGACTGCAATTTTGAAACCTAGCTTACAGCTCCACCAGCAACTTTAAACACATATCCTGTAGTAGATTTGCTTTTATCCAAATCCCCTGCATAGTCAGAATCAACATACCCATTGATAAGTAAATTTGATCCTCCGTAACATAATGCAATATTTGAGGTCCCTTTGATGTATCTCAAGATTCTCTTTACTGTATTCCAATGCTCTTTGCATGGATTCGCCATGTACCGACTAACCACTCCCACTGCTTGTGCAATGTCTGGTCTTGTGCATATCATAGCGAACATTAAACTTCCCACTGCTGATGCATACGGTACTCGAGACATATTCATCATCTCTTTTTCACTGCTAGGACTCATACTGGAGGATAATTTGAAGTTAATAGGAAGAGGGGTAGAAATTGGCTTACAATCTTGCATGCTGAATCGTGACAAGATCTTCTTCAAGTAATTCTTTTGTGAAAGCCAAATCTTCCTATTACTTCTGTCTCGGGGAATTTGCATCCCTAGAATCTTGTTTGCTGATCCCAAGTCCTTCATTTCAAATTCCCTAGCCAGTTGTGCCTTCAATTCTTCAATATGATCTTTGTTGGGTCCTGCAACCAATATGTCATCCACATACAACAACAATATAACAAAATCGTTATCATTAGACCTCTTGAAATAAGCACAAGGGTCTGCATTAAGTCTGTTGTATCCAAGGCACATAATGAATGAATCAAATCTCTTATACCAACACCTCGGCGCCTGCTTTAGACCGTACAGAGATTTGTTCAACATGCAAACCAAGTTCTTCTTTTCTTCTTCTTCAAAACCTTCAGGCTGGAGCATATAAATCTCTTCTTCAAGATTTCCATGAAGAAAAGTTGTTTTAACATCTAGCTGCTCTAGATGTAAGTTCAATGTAGCACACATTGCCAAAACTACTCGAACTGTTGTTAGTCGAACCACAGGAGAAAATATTTCATTGAAATCAATACCTTCTTTTTGAGCATATCCTTTGACCACCAGTCTTGCACGATACCTCTCCACTTGATCGTCACCATTTCGCTTGATTTTGAAAACCCATTTGTTACCAATTGGCTTCATTCCTTGTGGTAGTGGCACAAGGTCCCATGTATTATTTTTATGAAGGGCTTCGATTTCTTCTTACATCGCCATCATCCACAGTGAAGCATCTGAGCTGTTTATTGCCTCCTGGTATGTTGATGGCTCACCGTCCTCTGTTAAAAGGCAGTATGCAATATTACCTTCTATAACATAATCTGAGTGCCAATTGGGACGTCTTCTCACACGATCTGATTGACGAGTTGTTGGAGCTTCAGAACTCTCTGGTTATTGTTCATCATGTGCTGGTTCTACTTCAGAAGAATCTCCTTCTTCAAACTCTTTTTCCACATGTATCTGAGTAGTCTCTGACTTTTCAGCGCTATCATCGTCTTCTTTTCTTTGTAGTTTATCTTCTACAAATATAACATCCCTGCTGATGATCACTTTACGGGCAGTGGGATCCCACAAGCGATACCCCTTTACTCCATCAGCATACCCCAAGAATTTGCATTTCCTGGATTTTGGATCCAGCTTTGAAATTTCTTGGGCGTTGTACATCATGTACACAATACTTCCAAATACCTGGAGGTTTGAATAATCAACTGGTTTACCAGTCCACATCTCCATTGGTGTCTTCAGCTCTATTGCAGTTGATGGAGCTCGATTCACCAAATAACAGGCGGTATTGACTGCTTCTGCCCAGAATGATTTTTCTAGGCTTGCGTCCCTCAACATTGCTCTTGTTCTTTCTAACAAGGTTCTGTTCATCCGCTCTGCCACTCCATTTTGTTGAGGAGTGTTCATCACTGTGAACTGTCTTTTGATGACTTATTTTTTGCAAAAGTCATCAAATTCTTCGCTTGTGTATTCTCCTCCATTATCTGTTCTGAAACACTTGATCTTATTTCCAGAATCAAGTTCCACCTGCGCTTTGAAGTTTTTGAAAGTTAAAAATACTTCTGACTTCTTCTTAATAGGGTGCACCCAACATCTCCTGGAGTAGTCATCAATAAATGAGACAAAGTATTTTGCTCCACCTAGGGATGTTACTGGTGCTTGCCATACGTCAGAGTGAACCAATTATAGAACACTTTTGCCTCTAGAATTTGATGTGTTGAATTTCAACCGGTGCTGCTTACTTGTTATGCAATGCTCACACAAAGGAAGTGATACCTTTGTTAAGCCTGAAAGTAGCTTTTGCTCTACAATGACTTTCATTCTTTGTTCTGACATGTGTCCAAGTTTCTGATGCCATAGCATTGCCGAATCTGAACTACATGAGGCAACAGAGGCTTCTGCTTCTACCAAAGTCTCTCCTTCAGA